TCCCCAACGAGAAGAAAAAGAAAAGAAACCAAATCAACAACAAGACAAGAAAAGATACTTACTTTTTCCAAACCATTATATCGTCTTCCAAACCATCTCTCTCGTTTCACTCTTCCCTTCTCTCTTTCTTTCTCTTTGAGAATTCCTCCCCCTTCGAATCTCCCCGTCGAGTATCTCGATTTCGATTTCCAATCGTCAATTTCATTTCTCCATCGCTCCTGGATATATTTACACCACATATACATAGCAACGGCACTACCACAAACTCAAAACAAAAACACTCGATAATTTTGTGGGGAAAATCATTCATTTATTCGTTCATTCAGTCATTTGCTATCGTATACATCCATTATACATTCATTTATTCATTTGTTTATTTACTCCCACCATCCTTCACTTCGCAAACCGAACCCCAAGAAATTCGAAGAAGAAAGACGTCACCGCTCCATTATTCTATCCATCCATCATCCATTCATTCAAGAAAAAAAAAATCATTATATTTCATTTTTAATAATCTTTTCTTCTACCCCGTCAAATCATCAAACCCATCAAATCAACCCTCCACCCCTTCATCTAGAACCCCCCCGTCCCCATCTCGCCAAACTTTTCAACCTTCCAATTCCAGGCACAGGACAGGCACAGGCACAGGCCTAAAAACAAGGTCTCCAATCTCCAATCTCCAGCCTCCAGGAGTTAACGAAGCATAAGCATAAGCATCCATAAGCAGAAGAAAAAGAAGAAAAAGAACAAGAAGAAGAAGAAGATTGATTCCAAGAATCCACCCACCCACCCACTCAACTCGCCCCGCCTCGCCCTACGAACGAAACAATCCCGAGACGAAACGAGCATCCCTCCATTCCATTCCATCTCACCGGCCCCATCTAAAAAAAAACCTATCCTAACAATCGTGCTTTAGAAGAAAAAGCAACTCCATACAGACAGAGGTACATATACATATACCTATACAGAGCACATAACAAACCATTACAATTACAAAACCCAGCCAAGCCCTCCCCCCTCCAAAAAAAAAACTCTACTCGGCATAATCCCAGTACCCTTCCGCAAGGTTTCTTGGGACTAGGCTCGGTATTGGAAAATCCACCAGAGTATTGTATATTAATCTTCGCAAGAAAAAACTATAATCATCAAAATCCCGTCAACCTGGTCATTAATTCTTTTGAAGATATAACTCCACTCGCTCACAATATCCACCCATATTACTCTCTGCCACCCCGTCATCCACGCAAATCCGAACCGCCATCTCATGCGAATTCCTTCCCTTTGCTTTCCCTAACAACGACTACGAGACGAGTTCGAAGACTACGAAAAAAATAACAATCTGTTTACTTGTACAACCACACACGCACACACGCACGCTTTCTTTCCATTTTCCAAATTCCAAAATAGATCCCACGTTTTAACTTTCCATCAAAAAGCGAAAAGGATCCAAAATTAAATTCTACGAAGAAGAAGAAGAAGAAGAAGAAGAGTACGACATTGATTTGCTGCACCTACCGGTCTGCCTACCCACCTGCATATCATATCATCATCCTGCACGTTGCCGAAGCTCACCCAATCCATGCTTGCGGATTTCTCCAAGCTTACTTACTGCACTGCAATATTTCCCACATACATACATACGATTTATCCATCTAGGATTGATTATTTACCAAGCTTCGCTCCTAGCAAACAGATCAGGCATCGATACGTGCATTACATCGTACACGACACCCTTCCACAACCTTTCCCGACATTCTTTTAAAGTAACTCAAAGACCTACATAACCATCCCGTCCTGCGTGCTGCGTGGAATTTTCGGTACATTATCTTCCTTTCAGATAATCTTTTCTATCCATCATATCAGATCATCGGCGAAGAAAAGAGACTGGGTGCGAGGAAACGAGGAAGCGAAAGCTTGCAACTAAAGTCAGACTTTGTGTAGCCTCGGAACCATCAGTCTGAGACAAGGTCTGGATACACAACATATCATCCCATACACTCCTTTTGGGTATTACGCCGTACGTACGTACAACCTTGGCCAAAGACTGGATGAATAGTACGTGAAGGAGAAGAAACAGAAGGAAGCCTCCTGATTTCTGAATCCGATTCATCGTTCAATTATCTCGTCAGTCATTCTTTATTGAGAAGTAGTCATCTCTGTAAAAGTTGTGCGTCTTGTCATTCGTTTGTGTCATTAATTTCGACATCGCCTTCCCAACATCGCTTTTCATCGCCATCTTTCCGGAGGCTTCATACTCTTCATTGGCGCACTTGAGACCAGTCATACTACGTATGCTATCATTTCAGTAACGCCACGGCTTCACTCATTCAGTAATAGACACCATGTCGACCTCGAAAGCATTACCATTGAGTTTAGGCTTTCTAGCATTGGCAAGTGAGACTGTCATGCTTATTTTTAATGTCATCTTCTCGGCCACCATCTCGAAACACAGCACGTCAAACAAAGCAAGCGTATCGTCTTATGTCGCGACCGGTCTTGGGGTTGTCACAGAAGCATTACTTGTGCTACTGGTAATCAGACAAATCAAGTATCAAAACCACATTCAAGATCGTGGAAATGGACGACTAAGAATATATCTTTTTGCCGGACTCACCTCCATCTTTACCGGGTTATCGGCGATAGCTACAGCACTATCATTGTGCTTAATGAGGCAAAACTTGTCTCTACTTCCTAAAATAATTATTTCCTCCCCGGCGCAATCGATGACGATGGGTGGATTTGTTATCTGGGCAATATCGTTGGCTTCGCAAGCCGTGTTTCTCATTTGTTTAGTTGTAATTCAAAGGAAAGACTTTCATCAACAAATTCAGCCATATATCACCGAATCAGAAGCGCACATCTCTTCGGAAATGCAGCAGAGATCACAACCCCAGAGCCTAAATGATGGATCCGAATATGGAAGAAATGGCTCGATAGAATCGAAGACTCAGTGGTCAAATAGTGGTCGATCTCGATCAGGATCGGATCCAAAACGTTCGATGGGCTCATTCCGATCATCGATTTCTCATGTTGTACGCCCGATCACTTCAAAGACTCGACTTATTCATTCCAACAGCCAGCGCAGTCATCATTTCCGACCATCTTCTTTCGACTCAACTTATCGAGAAACGAATGAAAGGATCGAAGACGACTTCGACTCATGGAACACATCTGGTGTAGATGCGCAATCCAGACAAGTTATCGAATCAGCTTCACCCAGTCCCCCAAGGTTTCTCGAAACAATCCCCGCTAGTCCGACTGGCAGCAGAAGTCCTAGTCCAGGATTCCCATTAGATCTTGAACCCCCCAGGCCAACACGAAGTCGAAGTTATAGTCCAGCTGCGAGCATCAGGAGTGAAAGATCACTCTATCGAGCGAGGCAAGGGGGGATGAGTCCTGAAGGCACAAGGGAAGAAAACATCCATCCCTTATTTAGATCCGACTCTCCTAGTCCAGCACCTGCTGCAACTGCCGAAACCATCATAACCGCCGCTCCGGGAGCTGGATCTATCACCTTGTCGGATGTTCACAGCATCCGTTCCATAAACCGATTAAGAAGTGAGAGTCTCCCTCCACTCATGCACAATCCCAGCTTGGATAGCATCCGACGAGCGATAGAACAGGAAGATATGGGAATATCTGAGGAAGTCGAAGGAGAGCGTAGCCTGACACCACCCATACCGGAATGGATATTAGGAGCTGGACCACGGACCAGTATGTCCGAGTACAATCGCAAAAAGGCAATGTCGTTGAGTAAAGTAGGAAAATCGGACACGGCAGAGTATTGAGCATTGTAATACCAGGAGAGGGTATTCAAAGTAATGTTTGATATGAGAAGAAATAAAAAGAGAAAGGAGAAAAAATCAAAAAAAAATCCATAGGGGACATGGAAAACAGGCTATAAGCTGAACGAATTTCTTTGCTCACTTCAGGTGGAAATGGAATGGAATGTCATAACGAAACCGATACCACTTGATGTATTAGCGCGGCGTTAATTTTTTTTTCAAGTTAGATAGGTATACCTTAAATTTTAACGAAATAGATGAATGATCTTTGAAAGAAATTGATGTTTGAATTTGGGTCTTTGTAGTGAATGTTTGTGTAGTTGGGTGTGAAATTGATCAAGTGTTTTTGATGATAGTTGTAGTGATCGTAGTACATACCTCGCAATAACAATGATTAATATAGGGAATCTTCTCAATTGACTGCTCAAGCATCAATGTATAGATACATACATGTTGATCTGGATAACAGTCGATATCTACCATGGGAATATTAATTGCCTTGAATTGAATTGATTATGAGACGTGGATGAGTTGGAGTTTGTTGGGGTTGATCTCATATGGCCAAGACGAGGCTGAAAGAAGAGGTTTAACCCCGCACTCGGAATCGGACTAGAGATGATTATGTAAGATTTGCCTTTTGTTTTTTGCCTGAGCCGCAATTGGTATTTGATTGATTATTAGTGATGAGGTGATGAGTAATATCTACTACCTAGGTATGATTGTTTATTTATTCATTGTTATTGAATATGAATATCTATATATATATATATATATATATAATAATTAGTTATAAATACCTAGATAGGTAATGAATGAAAATAATATTTAAGAAAGAGAAACTATCTATTATAAAAGCTAGATATATATAGTAACTATTGAAATGTCTTTTATATTTCTAATATTAATAAATACTACTATGTAGATATTACAATTGATTAATCATATACATAGGTACCTACCTACCTCGTTATCGATTATTCTATTATATTGATTCACTCTGTCGTATTGACGCACACAGCCTTGAGCTCCCGAGGTCAAGGTTGTAGATGATGTACGACTGATTGTAGCCTGGCTTTAGCGTTGACTTCACGCCACTACCCATGGTCCGTGTGCAAGCGATTTGGGAGTTCGTACAGTTAACTACTACCTACCTCACTACCCTACTAGTGATAACCTTTTTATCAACCTTCCAAACTTCTTTCTATCAAGAGTAAACTAACTCCAACTCCAACTCCAACTCCAACTCCATTACTCTACATTACAACTTCTTCAACATCGAGCTTGCCTGCCTATTGTTCGTTCATCGTCACTTCCAACATCATCCTTGATACCCTTTTTTACAACATCTTCAAAGGTCTCACGGCTATCTCTCAATCATCACCACAGTCACATCTTTAAAAGTCGCAAATATGAAGTTGACTTTCAAGGTATCTTACTTCTTGTCCTTTTAACATCGACACTCTATCAGTCCATTATGCTAACGACTGTTGGTCGCGCTTAGGATTTAAAGCAGCAGAAATTCGTCCTCGATGCTGAGCCTACTGAGCTTGTATGTTACCAATATATTTTCGATTTTCCACATCACTCTACCCTACCTTCATCGCGGCGTCATATCTATCGTTCGAATAATGGCTAACGCATATAACACAGGTCTCTGATGTGAAGGAGAAGATCTTCAAGGAGAAGGGATGGGAGGCGTCGCAACAAAAGTTGATTTATTCTGGTATGTTCTGCATTCGGCCGCAGATTTCTATGACTGGCCAGAGACTGCTGGCGCACATTTGACTAACAACAATTTCAGGAAAAATCTTACAAGATGCGAATACTCTAGAGTCCTATCACATCGAGGAGAAGGGATTCATCGTTTGCATGATTACAAAGGTAAATATCCATTAATTGTCCAACAAAGTTCTCCCCATTTTTTTAACACTTGAGATAGCCCAAGGCTGCACCAGCCGCGTCCTCTGCGCCTAAAGCTCCATCAACCCCTGCTCCAGCATCGGCTGCTACACCCGCTCCACCTGCTGCGCCTGCACATTCTTCGAGTACCCCAAGCACCGCTGTTCCAGCAACACCTTCTCCTGCTGGTGCCTCGATCCCAGCTCCTCAAGCCACACCATCAAATGAGACTACCGGTCTTGCTATGGGAGCTGAGCGCTCAGCACAAATCGCTGAGATGGAAACCATGGGTTTCGAGAGGTCACAGATTGAAGCAGCCATGCGTGCTGCCTTTTACAACTCGGAACGTGCCATCGAATACTTGTTGACTGTAGGTTCATCTTAGTCCAGAAAGTGATAACCTTCACTAACATTCTACTAGGGTATCCCCGAAAATCTTTTGCAAGAACAACGACAAGCTACACCATCTGCACCCGCCGCTGTTCAAGCCTCATCTCCTCCCGCTGTCGGTGGCGAGGATGACCCAGTCGATCTTTTCCAAGCAGCTGCCGCAAATGCTGGTAATCGAGGTGGTGCTGCTCGTGGACGGGCCGGAGCTGGAGCCGATCTTTTGGGAGGTGCTGGAGCTGGAGCTGCAGCCGGTGGACTCGGTAACCTCGATTTTCTCCGAAATAATCCTCAATTCCAACAACTTCGACAAGTCGTTCAACAACAACCTCAGATGCTTGAGCCCATCCTCCAGCAAGTTGGGGCTGGTAACCCACAATTGGCCACTTTGATCAGTCAGCATCCAGAGCAATTCTTACAACTTTTGAGCGAAAATGCCGATGACGATGCGCCACTACCACCAGGGGCTCAAGCCATCGAGGTGACATCAGACGAGCGTGATGCTATTGAGAGGGTAAGAAATGCCCATTTTCTATTTAATCTTTCCCCCCACTAACAATCGACAGTTATGTCGTCTCGGCTTCAATAGAGAGCAAGCGATCCAGGCCTATTTTGCATGCGACAAGAATGAAGAATTGGCTGCCAACTTCCTTTTCGAGCAACCCGAGGATGAGGAATAGATATTCTTTCGTTGATTCTCGTGTTTCGTGTCTCGGGTTCACTTTTTCCTATTTTACTCCCTTCTCATTGAACGAATGAATGACGACGAATGAGCCTTTCCATTTACGTGTGGTAATGCCGGGGAATGGAGGGAGATGTAAGGGAATGGTTGGGGCAGAAATTGAGTGGTAGTGGGAGGGAGGCAGTCTATTTTTCCATACCAGCGGAGGGCAATGAATTGTAACGAACGATATACCTACGTTGCATAATTCTCGAACAGCATAGCAAAAATGTAACGTAGTTTATTATCATGAAAATTTTACTCTACTCAGATAGGGCACAGCAAATGGATGGATTAATTAACAAGAAATTCAATGTTTACAACAATGTGTGTGTGTACTGGTTCTTGATCCATATTTTTGAGGTGACATGCTGGTTTGAGGCAATGCAGGGTGGTATTGTATTGTATCTATCAAACACATAGGAGGTATTTGCGGGGGGAGAGAATGATTTTAGAAGGCTTATGTAATCTTGGAGATGGGGGTACGAGTATCTCGTAGGAATCAAAGAGTAGCTGGGTAGGTAAGAGGTAGTAGGTAGCTTTTAACTCTTCTCACATCTCATATCATTCATCACAATTATATATGCCCTCCCTACATGTTGACCTTTATCTTCTCCAAGCGCTAACCGCTGATCCTTCTCTTGTGCGCCCTTGGCTTGCCGCGTCCTTCGAGGTTGATGATGTTTAGGGAAGTCGATGTTTGAGTGTACGGTAACCTTTATGCGGGTCCACCAATCAGAAGCAGGAAAAAGGTGCAAGATGTTACTCGACTGCTCGCATTGCATTTTTAATTGTTGATCCATGCATTTTTTGCAGATGGGATGGGTGTACGGAGCACAACAATAAGACATACATACTTCAATTGATATTTCTACAACAACATTAATTCCTCCATTCTCTTATGAGCGTCGCCATCTCATCTCATGTTCGAGAAATAGTTGATTGATATATTACTGGAAAGTCAAATCGTGTCTTGAAAACAACTTCACCCTTTATATTCCAAGAGCAAGAAAAAAAGGTACTAGGGATTTAATCCTAGACACTGCTGGTAACCTTTACTCTCCGACTTTTCCAAGCTCCATCCATCCATCCGTTCATCAATCCATCATATCATATTACTTTACCAAGCCAACAATCTCAAGATTCAACATGGAACCCCCTACATATTCCACGCGTTCTAAGCGTAAATCTTCGGAATTAGAACCCAATTCACCACCCCTTTCCAAAAAATCACGAACATCACTTGATCTTCCACCTTCTTCTCCATTGTCTTCACCTTCTTCCACGTCAGCTGACCCCGTCTTGGCTCAATGTTCAATGGACTCTGAAAATCTTGATCTCGATGCCAACGTACCTCTTCGAGGCGGGTTTCGCGGGAGAGGTCGTGGACGCGGTCGAATTCGTGGTGGAGGGAGAGTTGGAAGAAATGGGAATGCGAAAATCCCCGTTGCGAGGGCGGGTGGTGTAGAGATTCTGGCGGGTGTGGCGGGCGGAAAAGCTACTCGTGGACGAGGTGGCCATCGGGTGAAAAAATCAAGTAATGCGAGGATACAGAGTTTGTATCATCGGAAACAATTGCTGAAAACTCAGTATAAACAGGTGGCGTTGTTGCAGCGGGTCGCCCTGGATGTTATCTCAGATAAATCTTTACAGGCTATGAGCGAGGATCCAAAGTACCATGAGACGTTGCCAGAATATCAGATTGTCATGGATCAATTGGCTGAGAGACATGAAAAGAGAGTTGCGCTGTTGAAAGAGCAACGTAGGATTCAATTGGAATATGCAAAGAAGCAGAGGCAGTTTGGAGAGGATTACACTCGTGGGGTCTATGAGGTATGTCATTCTTTTTTTCTTTTCATTATCATTAACGTTGTTAACACGTGTATAGACACGAGTAGAATTGATTCAAGAGAAATATGATTTAATGATCAAGAGGAGACTTATTGAAGAATATCAACAAATGGAAGTTCGATATGGTGCTGATAGTCCTTCTCAGCATGATGTAAGTCAAGGAGACACATTTATAAAATCTTCCATTAACATTTACCAGTTTGATAATTCACATATCAAGAGAATTCCCGAAGAGACTTTTATTCACCCTGCTGATGCATGGGTCAATGGTGGTCGTGCTGCACAGCTTGCTGCTGAAGCGGAGAAAGAGAAAGGGAAAAAGCGGGGCGGTCGTGGAAAGAAATCCACAAAGTTACCTGCATCCCCATTCAAACCATTGGATATCATGATACCGGATGATAGTGAAGTTGCACCCAAGAAAACGGCTTTGTATCAACCTGCGACTTCATTGTCTCTTGCCACTACTGTGGACGGAGATTCTGCCGCTCCCACCCCAGCCGAGTTGACCGAACAAGAAGATGCAGATGAGCTCGAAACTGATAAGTTTGGAGTTTACATACCTAACAAAGCAAGACCTAGAAATGGCGATCCACCAAACAATCGCATAGTGGTTGAACCTCCATTTACTTTCGATCCAGATGAAATAGGTATCCGTCATCACCATTACAAAAAGTACAACAAGAACGATCTTCCTACATTCATTGGAATGGATCCTTCTCCCCAACCAAAGACTTTTCATTATGATCCGTGGGTGAGAAATCATCATTCTACGAACAATCGACCAGAAGACTTGGATCAAACAATAGTCGAGACTCATAAATTACATCCGACTTTGGGCTTACCTGTGAAGGGGTCTATAAATCCTACACTTACTACAAGGAGTGATTGGAGTAAGCCTGTAGCAGAGACTAAACCTGTTGTCTTCGTTGTCGAAACTCAAGATGAAGAATCACTCAAGCCAAGATTTGAGACTTCTCGATCCGCATGGATGGCACGTACCGAAAGGGAATTTTCGGATCTTGGCGATCAGCTCAAGATGGCTGAATCATTAGAAGCGATTGGACTTCGGGATCCTATCCTTCGTCCGATCGAAAAGAAGATCGAACCTCAAATTATTGGCAAGATTAGCGACGATCTGATGGAAGCTGTATCGGAGGCGGTAAATGTCTTAAACAAGCCCGTCCCTCCAACGACATCCTCAATCAGAGCAACGTCAACAGCTCCTCCAACTTCAATACCTGGAACACCTGCGCCTGCACAAAGAACGCAAGGTTATGATCCAGTCCGTGATACTGGATATTCTCCTCATTTACGTCGATCTCCAGTCAGAACTTTCAACAATAAAAGCTTAGATATCCTCGCAAATGCAGCCGAATTTCATGGAACGTCCCTACCTCGCGGGGGATTACCACAACCAATCATTCCAGCTCCAAGGCCAATGCCACAAATCCAATACACTTTTTCCCAACCAGAATTTTATAGGCAACCTCCAGCTTTTGTACCTCCACCCCCACATATGACTCTTCCACCACCTTTACCTATGACTCTCCCCCCTCCTCCTCAACCGCTTCAGCAACAAACTCAATTCTTTCAATATGCGGGTCCTCCCCAAGCTCAAGGTGGCCCTCATAATAAGTATAAAGAGATTCTTCCTGCACCACCACAACCACAAAGACGTGTGCCGCCGCCTTCATTACCTGTGCCGCGAAGTAACGGATTTAATCCATTTGTAAATGGGAGAGGGTATGGAAATGGTTCGGGAAGGGGACCTTGAGATGATGAAATGCCTAGAAGCGTATCCACAAGAGAACAAACTGCATAATCTTGGATATACACTTTTGAGTGCTCATTCATGTCACGCGCTTCCATTCTACCTCATTTGAAAATCCACAAGCGGTTTCTTATAGTGGTGCATTTATTTTTCACAATTTTTTCTTCCTTCTCTGTATCAACAAATCAAACAAATTCATCATATTTTCAGGTTCTAAAATGAAAAAGGCGCAAAGTTTGGTTTTCGGAGTCTTTTCGTCGGTCGTATATATGTTCATGAGTTTTATCTTGAGAATTAAGAAATTGGAATTGGATTGGTTGGTAATGAAATAATTTTAAATTTTATTGGGCAGGATGCAGTTATAAAAGTATTTTTTGGTTTTTTGATTTCTTGACTCTTTTGGAGGATGGAGTTTTGGATGAGGGGAATGGGGGGTGGAAGACGGGGTGGGGAAGATGGGAGATGAGGGATTTTAGTGTTTGTTTTAGAGTAGGAGTAGAAAATGGAAGCTTTTTCTTCCTCTTTGTCTTGATATTTTGAGAAGGAGCGGGGGGTGAGAAGGAGGGTTTTGTAGGGTTTGTAGATGTGGATGTGGATTTTCATGTGTATGTGTATGTGAATGTTTTCATATGTGAAATTGGAAATTGGCTTTATTTTTGTAAGGGGGAAAAAGATGAAAATGGGATAGGTAAGATTACAAGGAAACGAGATAATCTAGTTGATTTGTTTGGAAATTTTCGGGATTGGGTTTCTCTTTAGTGTGCGATGACGATGATTTATTGCTAGGGCGGATTTTGGGTGGACTGTGTTGGTGAAGATTCTGGGGAGGCGGGAGGTGAGAGGTGAGAGGTGAGGGCTGGAGGGCTGGAGGGCTGGGCTTGATGTAATGGATTGTGAGTGGGAGAGAGGGAGAGAGGGAGAGAGGGAGAGAGGGAGAGAGGGAGAGAGGGAGAGAGGGAGAGAGGGAGAGAGGGAGAGAGGGAGAGAGGGAGAGAGGGAGAGAGGGAGAGAGGGAGAGAGGGAGAGAGGGAGAGAGGGAGAGAGGGAGAGAGTGATACGAATCATCTCAATGAATGTATATATATATGCTATGTGCTATATGTACTTGAGGAAAAAATGAATTGGTTTGGTTTTGATGGATGGGCTGGTGTTGAGAATTCTTGTGTTTCTCAAATATTTTGCGTGATGAGTTCGACTTTTGGATTGGAAGTTGGAAATTGGAAGTTGGAGATTGGAAACAGTGCTTCCAAATCATTACATATCCTGAGGTAAGAGGGTTTAGATTTCGTGGATTTCGTGGATTTCCTGGTTTAGAGATTGGAGATTGGGAGCTTAGTTTGAAGGACAGGGAGATTTTATAAGGGGGGGGAGGGGGAGTACGAAAAAAATTAGTTTGTTACCTAGGTAGATATGTTAGATGGATGTGTTGTTAAACTCTTTGTTCTTATGTGATTTGTTGGTTAAATGGTTTGATTCAATTCTATCTACTTCATTTTTATAGAATTGAGCTGGATTTAATTTCCTGTTTTCGCTTCGTTTTCGCTTTAAATTGAGATTGAGATTGAGATTGAGATTGAGATTTTTTCGCATAGGGGTTACCTAGATAGGTAGTAAGATGGGAGCTGCTGGTTTTTTGTTAATGCATATTTCGGAATTGAGTGGAGAAAGTTGATGTGTGATGTTGTGTGAGAAGGGGGGGGCTTTATTTGGGTGATAGGT